GGACGGCGGGGCCCCGGCGACGGCTGCTTTTCGGTTGGGTTCCGCGTTCGCCTCCCGTCGCGCCTTTCCCCGCGGCCGGACTCCGGCATGCGCGGTGGACGGGCTTCACCCGCGTCACCAGAAGCCCGGGGCCGACTTGGCCATTGCCGATCGGGGATGAGCGTGGATGCCGCCCACTCCAGCTGACGCCTTGCGGGACCGTGGAGCCGTCAAGAAAAAAAAAAAAAGTTTCGTGTTTATCTTTCTTTAAAATCGGCCGGAGGAAAATTTCAGCAGTCCACACCATTGCTTCGGGCTGCGTCTGATGAATTTCTTTACGTATTTGTTTTGAGAGCAAGCTTGTTCTCGGTTATATAAGACCCTGTGGTAGGTGTGCAGTTACCAAAACCAATCCCCCCGCCAGAGAAGTTGTATAAAAGTTTGAACGTGACTGGTCTGCGAGTGAACGACATACCTTTCCCCGTTTGGCTTGCTTTTTTTTTTTTTTTTTGCTTAAGAACTGGCCGTCTGCACCCTGAAGGGTTTATGATTCCCCCGTCCCCCCACCTATTTTAAAATGGCTTTTCTAATTTGTAAAAAATATAAAATAAATAAATATAAAATAAAAAATATAAAAATAAAAAGTATACAAAAGAAAAAAAAAACAGTATTTCCATGTAGACAGGAGTTAGTGCCCAGTTAATAAGACATTGGTTGGCTAGCTATTTTTTCAGAGACCATTCTTTTTACATCCTATTTAGCATAAATTAAAGCTCTAGTGTGCATTGTGTTAAAGGAACAGTTAAACCAGTAAGACATTTTTTTCCTGAGGCACCAAAGGCCCCTTTTCAGTTACTTAGTCTTCTTTCATAAATTTTCATAAATTCAGGATGTTCCAATGCTAGGTTATGTTCACACACCCACTTCAACGCTTACTGGATAGGTAGTCTACCCTCTACCCTTTTTGTAAATTGCCCTGTTCTGCTGCAGCCTCCTGCTTCTTCCTCTTCCTCCTCTCTCCTTTTCATTCACCACCACTATGCACCAGCAGATAGCAGCCTTCTCTCCATTTCTTTTTCTATGGTTCTGAGATTTAACTTATGGTAAAGTCAGCCCCTATTTTGACTCGAGTTTGGCTAGGAAGGAGGAAGAAAATGCAGTTGGAGTTGAAATATCCAGGTTTAGTTGTGTTGAAGCGGAAAGACGTGTCTGTCAGCATTATATGCCATAGATACATGGTGTCTTCGTGCATTTGATCACATAGAAGTCTCTTCATGTTGTAATGGGGTCTTGATTTTAAGTATGTTGAACATTCCAGGACTAGTTACACTAAGGACTTCTTAACATCACCCATGCAGTTAATTTTGAGTATATTGAGCTTACTCCAAGACTGAACTTTGGGAGAAGCTTGGTTATAGTAGACACAACAAGTGTAACCATAATGGCCAAAGGCAAAGTGTATATATGGAAAAGGAAAGTAAGTAGTACCAACCTTCCAAAAAGTATGTACAACCAGGCTGCTAGAGGCTCGTGCCTGTAATCTTATAACTACTCAGGAGGCTGAGATCTGAGGATCACATTTTCGAAGCCAGCTGGGGCAGGAAAGTCCATGAGACTGTTATCTACAATTAACCACCAGAAAACCCAGTGGCACTGTAGCTCAAGGTGGTAGAGTGCTAGCTTTGAGCAGAAAAGCTCAGGGACAGGGCTCAGGCCCTGAGTTCAACCCCAGAATGTACTCCCCCCCCCCAAAAAAAGAAAAAAAGTATGTCCTAATGGTTTATTTTTTGGGGAAGTTCTTGCAAATCAACTATTTCCAAGGAGTGAATGAGTAATCTCACTGGCAATCTTCACACAGGGGGAGGAGACTTCAAGTAAGAGTAGACTTCTTTCCCTTCCCTTTTATCTGTAGATGGGACCTCTGGTTTATTTTTTAACACTTGTGGATTTGGGCCTACAAGAAGCCTGACTTGAGTCAGCTCCAAGCTGTGAAGCTAAAAATAGGGTCCTTTTAGAGGACTTGTTAAAGCAGGATGTCTCAGCCTTCATAATGTTTATCACTTTTTTGGCCTAAGTAACCAAGAGAAAGTCTGCTTTTAGCTTATTTTTATGTATGTAATGGTTTGCAATTATATTTATCATATCTTTTGAATTCTTCCTGACCTGTCTTTGGAATTGCAAAGTAATTTGCTTTAAAAAATATAATTTCACCTTTTCCTGTAGTATTTGGCTAGATTATCAGTGCTTTATACTTTATGGAAATTGCTGTGTGTTGCTTCCAGCAACAGGATCAGATTGGTTCTCTATGCTAAAATCTGGCGAACCATTAGCTCTGCTTGCTTTTTTTTTTGGATAAGAAATAAGCTTTCCTAACTGAATATCTGCCATCTGTTGCTAGGTGAATGGTTTTAATACTAGCTCACTTGGTAATGGTAGGAAAAGCCCTACCAGATGATATTGAGGCTTATTCATGCTATTAATTCCTTGATCATAACAAGAGCCAGATGGTAATCTTTGTAAAAGTTATGATGCTAATTGTCATTTGTTGAAGTGGCAAACAATTTGATAGTTTATAAAATAGTTGGACAATCTAGTGCAGAAAACATATACTATATTAGGCTACTTTTTTTTTTGGTACCTGGAACTTTGTGTTTTTGGTTGGCTTTTTTTTCTCAAGACTGGCACTGTACCACTTGAGATGCCTCCACTTCCAGTTAGATGCTTAATTGGAGATAGAAATACTAGGGAGACTCATTCAGTTGGAGCTGTAACTTTAAAGCTAGTTCCAGTTAATATAAATTGTCCAGAGGGCAGTTTGAGTGTGATACTAGCAGTATTACCATTTGGGGTACCTCGTAATGGAAAAGAATTTCAGTGTCCTCTATAAGCATGGTAAAGTAGCTGGGAAGGTGGCTCAGTGGTAGAGCTCATGCCTGGCATGCCAGAGGCCCTGGGTTCGATTCCTCAGCACCACATAAGCAAAAAAAGAAAAAAAAAAGAAAAAAGCCGCAAGTGGTGCTGTGGCTCAAGTGGTAGAGCGCTAGCCTTGAGCTGAAGAGCTGAGGGACAGCGCCCGGGCCCAGAGTTCAGGCCCCATGACCGGACCCAAAAAACCAAAACCAAAACAAAACAAAGCATGGTGAAGTACTGGGAAGAACTTGAACAGACTTTTTAGGTTGATGCTTTATGGTTTTGGACATAAGAACAGTTCCTAATTCAGTTGGATGACAACATACTGTTTGCATCCTTCAGACTACTCACTTGGATAAGTAAATTTTTATTTGAATGCTTTAATTTTTGCCTGCCTTCCTGCCTTCCTTTCTTTTTCTTTCTTCCTTCCTTCCTTCTTTCCTTCCTCTCTCTCCTTCCTCCCTCTTTCTCTTCTTCCTTCCTCCTTTCCTCCCTCCCTCCTCCCTTACCCCCGTCTCTCTTTCTTTCTTTCTTCTTTCGTCAGTTGTAGGGCCTGAACTCTAGGCCTGGGCACTGTACCTCAGCTCAAGGCTAATGCTGTACCACTTGAGCCACAGTGTCACTTGTGGCTTTTTCTGCTTATATTGTGCTGAGGAATCAAACCATGGGCTTCTCGTGCATGCAAGGCAAGCACTCTACTTCTGAGCAACCTTCCTAGCCTCATGAATGCTTTAATTTTTCTGAAACCATGGTGCACTTCAATATCCATAGAAAGACACCCATAGAAAGACACCAAGTATACTCAAGATTTTAGGAGGAAAACATCTATTATAGCCTTAAGGTGCTGAAGAGAAAAACTATTGACCAAGTTGCCTCTTTGTTTTTTGGTAAGTAAAGGATGGGGCACAGTACTGCCTAGCAAGGATTTGTATAATTAGGATTACAAAGATGTCCTCAAAGGGTTGATTTTAGTGACCTAAAGGAGAAATGGTAATGAGATCTTTATAGAGTGACATTTGGCACAGTAATACTGCTGTTATTCTATGTCATGTTGTCACCATGTATAGAGAAAGAGCTGAAGACATCTTGAAATTATAGAAAGGGAAATGGAGAGTGGATGCTGCTGGATTGCTTTTGAGTGTGAGAGAAAGCATTGGAACTTAAACCAACTTTTAACAAAACAGTAATGTATTGTTTTTTCCTTTTAGGTATTGCACTCTCAGTCTCGCCATGTTGAAGTTAGAATGGCCTGCATTCACTATCTTCGGGAAAACAGAGAGAAATTTGAAGCGGTAATTTAAAATGTCATATGTGATGGTGTCTTGACTTGTATTTACATTTTGGCCTTTGGAAATGTTTTAAGGGAAATTTTATAGTCTAGATATAAATTCAGCCTATGAAAATGACCCTTGTAAAAATTGGTTTAGTTGTGATATTTTCTAGGCTGTTTTGTATTATACTCATTTGTTCATACATTTTGAAAGCTGAATAAGACAGTAAACTGTATTGGGTGGAATGATGACCTGTATACAAGCTTCTTGCAAGCTCAGCTGCTTTGACATGATCAGGGAATTAAGTATTGATTCATAGTGGTCTTCATGATTGGTAATTCTGCATGAATTAAAACATTCAGACTGGTGTTTTAAAATTATATTGAACCTTTAATTTTGTCAGAAGGCATTTACAGATTTTTACTTTGCAGGATTCATTGTGAAATCACATCAGAACACTGTAATTGTGTAAATGGTGATTGATAGTTAAAATGTTGTATAACAACTAGTATAATTTTCTCTAGTATATAGTAAACTATGGAATAAGATGACAGTGACCTATTTTCATTTTGCATTTAAAGCCTTATAGTAGCTACTTGTTATTGGTTTTATTATTGAGAATTATATAACTTGACAACTTGTAGTGACATTTCCCTCATGGATTAGTAAAGAATACTGAAACTTTGCAGAATCAAAATATAAGACTCAATAGGAAAAATGTTGAGGCAGTCCCTATATTGAAGCAAATTTGGGTTCTGTGATTTAGGATGGATGGTAATATATTGTACAGGGGGAGTTATCTGCTTGCTTCATTATAATACTTAAATATATTAATATAATATTCATATGAATACTTACCTCTTGATACTATATTAAAACATTGGTAATGTGGAAGACTAGGATACGATTGTGGTGGTAAAGAGGGTTGGGGAAGGCCTATTATAAATACTTGAACGTTCAAATGAATTATTGACTAGAGTGTAAAACTATTGATAACGGTAGACATTGCTAACTTTGGTTACATACTATTATTTTAATTGCTTTTCATGTATTTGTTTAGTCCACATAATCTTATGAGGTATGGTCATGTGAAAATAAAGGGAAAAGTTTCAGTGTAATAATAATAGCTTTCTAGGAGTTTCTTTTGGCAAGAATTGGGAAGGGGGTATTGTGGGAACCTTGATCATCGAGATCCTAGCTTCTTGTATAGGATTACAAGTATGATCTACTATCACTGAGCTTACCACATTAATCTTATGCTTTTGTTATATTTCTAGTTTAGAATGTTGTGTGCAGTGATTTTATAAATTACCCTTTCTCTGTAATGTAAAAATCCACCTGGGCTAGAAGTCCTCTATTGGCCCCCATTTGATTTGTCTCTCTCAACTGTCTGCCAACTTGCGCATCTGGTCAGGTTGCTCCTGTCTCCCCATATGCCACAGTAACGATCTTTGGAGTATCTACTCCTTGTGTCAGTTCAGATTCTAGTCTTCATCTTGAGTTATTCTTTGTGGAGAGGATTCCTGGCAATATTTATTCTTTCAATTCTTCTGTATATTTTTGCTGTTTACTGATTGTCTCACACACATGTATATAATACTCTTTAAGTTTATAGTTTTAATGATTTGTGTATATTGTTATGGTTAGGTTATGTATATATTTTAATACTGATGTATCTCAGATCAGTCAGAATTCAGTAATTGGCCTGGGAATGTGGCTTAGCAGTAGAATGCTTGCCTAGCATGCCTGAAGCCCTGGGTTCGATTCCTCAGTACCACATAAACAGAAGAAGCCAGAAGTGGCACTGTGGCTCAAGTGAAGAGTGCTAGCCTTGAGCAAAAGCAACTCAGGCACAGTGCCCAGGCTCTGGATTCAAGACCTAGGTCTGGCCAAAAAACCCCCAAACAACTTAGTAATTCAAAGTGAACCTTAACAGTTGTAGCAGTTAACATTGTTTTTTTGTATTTCTTAAGTACATTTCTAATATAATTTTTTTTTTGCAGTTTATAGAGGGGTCATTTGAAGAATATTTAAAACGTCTAGAAAATCCACAGGTATGTGGTAATTTAATACATTGATTTTTTAGTTGTATAATAGTAAGTATTAGCCGGGCACTGGTGGCTCATGCCTGTAATCCTAGCTTACTCAGGAGGCTGAGATCTGAGGATTGCAGTTCAAAGCCAGCCCAGGCAGGAAAGTCAGTCCGTGAGACTCTTATCTCCAATAAACCACTAGAAAACTGGAAATGGTGCTGTGGCTCAAGGGGGTAGAGCACTTGCCTTGAGCTGAAGAGTGCAGGGACAGTGCCCAAGCCCAGAGTTCAAGCCCCACGACCAACCAAAAAAAAAAAAAAGTAAGTATTTAAGCTTTATTGAAGTGGAAAGCTGGGCTTCTGTAATTCTGGCTACTTGGGAGTCTCGGATATGAGGATCACAGTTCAAAGCCAGCCTAGGCAGGAAAGTCCATGAGATGCTTATTTCCAATTAACTATCAAAAGTTAAAAAATGCTGTGGCTCAAGTGTTAGAGTTGTGACCTTGAGTTAAAAAAGTTCAGGGACAGTGCCCAGGTCCTGAATTCAAGTCCCAGGACTGGCATGCATGCACGCACGCACACACACACTCTGAAGTGGAGTATGGGGTTACAAATGACAATACTGTGATTGCTTATAAACATTCTCTATCTCCTAGGTAAGCACTTTGTGGAACATTTAATTGGGAGTAATAGGCATGATTTACCAGAGGCTTCCTCACTAAGGATAGAGATCGACTGTCTTTATTTTTGTCACAATGGCTTGTGAATGTAGCATACAAAATCTTAATACTGGTGATTTTCATAATACTGTGTTGGAGAGTTTGTGGGATTTGTTAAGGTGAGATTGGATTTCTTCCTTGGGTAATTGAGGAGGCAGAATGTGTATGTGTATGTATGTATGTGTGCATGTGCGTATGTGTGTGCACGTGTGTGCTTGCATGCTAATGGGGCTTGTCCTCAGGTCCTCATTCTTGCTCAGCTTTCTTACTCACAGCTGGCCCTCTGCTACTTGAACTATACTTCCTCTACCATTTTTTGCTGGCTAATTTGGAGGAGTCTCAGAAAACTTCTGTTCAGGCTGGCAAGAAGGCAAATTTGTTTTCGAGGTTCCATTTCCTGTGATCAGCTTGTGAATGGAGTGGAGATACTAAGAAGAGTGTCTACCTGTTACCACACTTTCTCAGTCATGTTGAAGTTAATTTTTTTGTTATTTTTTCCTGCTTACAAAATTAATGCTTTCACAATAAATATCCAAATAGGACTGGTAATATGGCTTAGTGGTAGAGTGCTTGCTTAGCATGAATGAAGCCCTGGGTTTGATTTCTCAATACCACATAAACAAAAAGCCGGAAATAAATATCCAGATATAGTGTGTACTTAGTGTATTCTAGGCCCTAGTATTAATTGGTCCCTAGAATTCCAAAAAAGAAAGCAAAAATCTCAATTCATGAAATGTAGCATAGGAAGAAGGATGTTTGGTGAATGATTTTGGTGTATTGTTTTGATAATAGTCTAGCACTAATTTGAGTGCTTGAGTTATATCTAAGACTTGATGGTCACATGGGGATCGATATCTGAGATGACCAAAGAAATTTTCTGTTATAGGCAAGAAAGCCAGATTTAAGTAAGGAAAGTACCTGTACCATACAGTGTTACATGCACCATAGTTTTAGTTCCAACTAACTTGACAGGGAATGAATTCACATTAGAAGTCTGGATAAATCCTAAATAAGCAGGGCCTTTGCTGAAGGGTATTCTAGAAGTGAAAACTAAGTAAGGCAGATTCAGAGGACAGGAAGTTAGTGTGGAGCATGAGCATGTAAAGGTAAGAAGTAGTGAGAGATAAATCAGGGCTGTGTCGTTGGGGCAGGTAGTTTGATGGCCTGGAGTGGAGGTTATGCTTAATTAAGACTTGAAATGGGACTGGTTTTGATTATTCACATAAAAATCACCCGTGTGTGCATAAAGGTGTAGATTCTCTGGCTCTTATTCCAGACCTAAATCAGTTTTTGGGTCCTCATTTTGAGTATTTGATACTGGGAAAACAAGACATACTATATATTCTGTCTACTAGAATTAAACTCTGAACACAGAGATGGTCTCTATGTTTTCAAAAATGGTTCAATATAATTTTACTTTTTCATGAGCAATATATGAGAATTGAAATTGTTCCACAATTCTGACAAAGTTCTTTGTGATTTTCATTTCCTAATGATACTGAATCTTTTTTTCTTTTTTTAAGTGTCAGTACTGGGGCTTGAACTTTGGGCCTTACATTCTTGCTCAGCTTTTGTGCTCACAGCTGGTGCTTTACCTACCACTTGAGTCACCCCTTTCATTTTAACTTTTTTGCTGGTTAATTGGAGATTACAGTCTACAGTTAGAAATCAGTAAGCCCTTCTCTCTGCCTAGGCTGGCTTTGAACTTCAGTCCTCAGATCTCAGTCTCCTGAGTAGCTAGGATTATAGATGTGAGCCACCAGTACTTAGCAGTTGATGTAGTTTTGAATACTATATAGTCATTAACAAATTTTGCAGAAATTTTTTTCTCTCCTTTTTTTTTTGTTGGTCTTGGGGCTTTAACTCAGGGCCTGGGTGCTGTCCCTGAGCTCTTTTGCTCAAGGCTATATCTCTACCACTTTGAGCCAGAGCTCTACTTCTGGTATTTGAGTGGTTAATTGGAGATAAGAGGTCTTGGGGACTTTTCTGCCCAGGCTGGCTTTGAACCACTGTCCTCAGATCTCAGCCTTCTCTGAGTAGCTAGGGTTATAGGCGTGAGCTATCAGTACCCAGCTTCTCTCAACCTTTTTATCTTTAAGATGTATATTACAGAAAAAGTGTTAAGTTACAGCCCATAGTAGAAGGCATTGGTAATAGAACATTGATTAAAATTATTTTTTAAAAAGTAATTTTCACTGGGCGCTGATGGCTCATGCCCGCAATCCTAGCTACTCAGGAGGCTGAGATCTAAGGATCGAGGTTCAAAGCCAGCCCAGGCAGGAAACTCCTTGAGACTCTTATCTCCAATAAACCACTTGAAAACCAGAAGTGGCACTGTGGCTCAAGCAGTAGAGCGCTCGCCTTGAGCTGAATTGCTGAGGGACAGTACACAGGCCCAGAGTTCAGATCGACCAAAAAAAGCAATTTTCAACTAATCCTGGTTAGTGCTGAAGAGAATAATTTATGATAGCCATTGTTTACTTAACCAGACAAAAGTAGAGTTTAGTCTAGAATTTAAAAATGTCTCATTTTTCTGCTCAGTCTGGCTTCAAACCTCAAACCTCAGATTTCATCCTCCTGAATAGTTAGGATTATAGGCTTGAGCCACTGGTATCCTGAAAAAACCCACCTTTTTAATGCTTCCTAATTTTCTTGTATTCAATATTTTGGTATTTTGAAATGGGCTGTTCTGTTCTAGGAACTGGGTTGGAGGATAAACCTTTTCTTCAATAAATTCTTCTCACCTTACAGAAGTAAAAGATAATTGGCCAAAAATTTAATAGACTGCTTTTTAGTCCAATATGTTAAGGTCTATTCTATTAAATGATTTTCTAATAGTCACAATATTAGTGATATTACAGACTAAGCTCATTAGGTATGCTACATAAAGAGTGTGTATAAAGTATGCGTAATGTTTAAAGTATAAAGGTGTGTGATATACATGTGCTAACTTTCTTCTCCTTTGATACAGGAATGGGTGGGACAAGTGGAAATAAGTGCCCTCTCCCTTATGTACAGGTAAAGAGAAATATAAGTAAATAAAAAACACCACTGGGGGAAGGCTACACTTAAATAAAAAGTTAGACTAGCAAGGTCATTTTATACTTTGAGTATTAAAACATTTTTTTGTTTTCTGTTGGTTTAGTTTTTCTGTTGGTTTAGTTAGGCTAACCCCTTTCTGTCTGCACATGTCCTGAAAGAGTTCTGGATTATAAATGTGTGGCACTATGCCTGACTTTATTTTATTTTTTAAAATACATATTTTTAATATAAAGATACTGTACAAAGGGGTTACAGGTATATGAGTAAGGTAATGAGTACATTTCCTATCAAGCATTGTTACCCCCTTCTTTGTTTTTCCCCTATTATCCCTTCCCTCCCCACCTCTCCAACTTCTCCCTCTCCTCCACACCCAGAATCTGTAAAGTTCATTTTCAACATAGTGTCTTGTACATCTCATTGTTACAGTGGGTCAACCTGTATCCTTATTTCAGCATTTTGTTATTTCCCTTCCTCTTCCCAAATTAGAAAAATATATATACAAGATGCAGGGCACTAGAATCAAATGTAGTGAAAACAGGGGTTATATTTTATTTTGTTTTTAAATTGCATCAGTTAGATTTTGATACTCAGATATTAATCTTCGTGATTTTTAATATCTCAGAATGTATTTGGATAAGGATATAGACATTTTTCTGAGCTATGTCCTATCCAACTATCCTTTATCAGAGAGATGACCTACTTTTCCCTGGGCCTGTGACAGTGAATGGCCATTGGAACAAAACTAAAATAACATCAACGGATTAGTGTTTTTTCTTTCCAAAATATCAAAATTTCAGTCAAAAGTTCTGTGATTTTATTTTTTTGAGATCTCCTTTTAGAAATGTGTATGAAGTTATTTATATACAAATTATTTGAAATTTTATATTTTAGAAAATAGTTTACAATGGGTTTATGACTTACCTTTCATTGTTTGCTTTCTTATTGCTATATGTCAAGTGCCTGGAACATAACTCTGGATCAAGAGCCTTGTTAAATTAATGAATGGATGAATGATTAAAGTCATGAGGTATCCTTAAGTAATTTCTTGTTATTTTCAGGAAAGATTTTGTGATATATCGGGAGCCAAATGTTTCTCCTTCACAAGTAACTGAAAATAATTTTCCTGAAAAGGTAAGACCTTTTCTAAGTGTTTGTAAAAGATTTAAGTAAAATAACCAGTATTTGCCACCTTGACCTCTTAACCTAGTTTTTGAAATACTGAAGAAGCTATGGAATTGTGAATTTTTTTTTTTTTTTTGTCTGTCTGGTGTTGTAGGGCCTGAACTCTGGGCCTGGGCTCTGTCTCTCAGCTCTTCAGCTCAAGGCTAGCGCTCTACCACTTGAGCCACAGTGCTACTTCCGGCTTTTTTCTTTTTGCTTATGTGGCGCTGAGGAATTGAACCCAGGGCCTCATGCATGCAAGGCAAGCGCTCTACCACTGAGCCACCTTCCCAGCCCCAGGAATTGTGAATTTTTTAATGATGAGCAATTAGCATTGAGTTGTGTAACTTTGTATCCCCTTGCCACTGTTGAGTTGAATAAAGTTGTGAATGTAGGTTCTCAGATTTGCATTCAAAAGGTATTTTTGTTTTGTTCTGGTGCTCATACTGGGCTTGAACTCAGCCTGGGCACTGTCCCTGAGCTGCTTTTGCTCAAGACTAGCACTGTACCACTTGAGCCGTAGCTCTACTTCAAGCTATCTTTTAAATGTAGTTTAGTGGAGAGAAGACTGCCTTGGCTGGCTTGGAACTGCAGTTGTCAGATCTCAGCTTCCGGAGTAGCTAACTGTTATAGGCATGGAACTGCAGTTGTCAGATCTCAGCTTCCGGAGTAGCTAACTGTTATAGGCTTGGAACTGCAGTTGTCAGATCTCAGTTTCCGGAGTAGCTAACTGTTACAGGCTTGGAACTGCAGTTGTCAGATCTCAGCTTCTGGAGTAGCTAACTGTTATAGGCTTGAACCACCAGAAGTAATTTTTGATAGTCATGCATATTCTTGATATTTATATGTAGTTTTAACGATAATGTGTGGTGTTGTATCATTTGGTCATAAATGGAAACAATAAAAAGTTTTGTGAATCCTAGAGGGAAAACACCAACTGCTTCATTAAGTTTTGTTTTAATTAGTGATTTCAGAATCATATAGGCTAAGTTAAAGAGACTTGTATGTCACCATACTAAAAATGCTAAGGAGGAAGGGAAATGAACTTAGCAGTTACCTTTCCAACTATAGTTTTGGGGATATGACATTCTAAACAAGATAAATGTAAGTAAATTTCTCTTTAAGTAATCAACGATTAAGAAAATACTTAAAATTTTAAAGCAAGAAAATTTATCTTTTGAGTTCTGCCTCTAGAGAAGTAGCATTCATAAGATTTCATGCTTGGTTCTCTCACTCTAGGCTTGTTCTCATGCTCTCCCTTTTTGGAGACAGTGTCTGTAGCCTAGGTAGGACTTGAACTCAACATTCTCCTACCTTAGTCTCCTGACTTTTGGGATTGTGTGTGAACATTTTCTTACAATTTTTTGATTTTATTGTTCTTTTAATTGAAATGAATGTGACTTTTGAGATTCTGTAAACATTTCTATAAGTCTTTAAGAAAATGCTGATTTACAGGCTGTAGAGTTTTGAAGTAAACCATAGTTTGACAACATTTATGTTAAGGTTGCTTCTAAAATACTTTTTGCTTTTGTCTTTTGAAAATCATCTAATATTTAGAGACATGGGTCACTTAAATTGTTTTGTAAACGTATATATGGATATGAGCCAGACTGAAAGATGTCTTCTTGTTTCCTTTCAGGTGTTACTGTGTTTTTCAAATGGAAATCATTATGATATTGTCTATCCCATAAAGTATAAAGAAAGTTCTGCTGTGTGTCAATGTAAGTTAGCACTTTGTGTTTAGGAAAGAAATTATATTCCTGAATTATATGGGCTTAATGAGAAGTTGTAGATTAAGAATTTTCTTTTTAAGTAATACGTACTGTGAATATCCAAATGACTGAGCAGATCAAGCATTTGAAAGGTAGGGGCTAGTCTCAGCACTTAATCTCAGCACTGTTGACATTTTGAGTCAGACAGTCCTCAGTCCTCCCCTGTGGGTGCCCTCTTGTGCCCTACAGGGCGTCTAGTAACATCACTAGCCTCTACCAGAAGATGCCTTTAAGACTAGTGTACCATGTGACAACCAAATTACCTCCACATTTTCTTAAATCTTTCCTTCAAGAAATTTCTTTCCTTATTTTTACAATAAAAAAAGTATCAAAAAAAAAGGAAGAAACTTCTTTCCTTGTGGAGAAGACAAAGGGATCTTTCAATTGTTAGGTCCATTGTTAACCTGTTGTGAGAAACAACAGGTTTCTCATCCAAAGCTGTGCAATGGTGCCGGTCGAGCAACAAATTTACTTCTGTTCTTAAGGTAGCAGTAGCCAGTAAAGATACTTGTACTGAAAGTGATAAAAAGTTTAAAAGGCTTGTTAGATTTTGAAAGGCCCCAAATAAAAGTCTACCCTGCTTGTCTTGGGCTGTGTCTTCCCCCATGTTCCCTATTTGTCATAGTCTGTATTTAACCTGTGGGGGAAAAAGTCTGTGTAGCCTGCCACCCTCCTGTATTTGAAAGTGTGGTGATAAGGGGTGCATCTCCTTTTACCAGAATCTGGAAGAAAGATGGTCTGTGACAAGCAGGACTCTGGGGGATTCGTTTAGATGGTGAGCACCACTGTGCATGAATTCTTAGTGCACTTTGTTTCCATAAAGCTCACTGTAATTAAGCTAATAAACAGGAGTTGTCAAATCCATGTGGTTTTCAGTTTTTGATAATTTTTCCTTGTTTACTGAGAATCTGGTTTCTAAGAGCATATTTTTTTTAATATAAAATTAATATCTGAAGCCAGGTGATAAGACAGAAACATATTTTTTGTGTGCCAGTACTGGAGCTTGAACTCAGGTCCTTGCTGTCCCTGAGCTTTTTCTCAAGGCTAGTGCTCTACCACTTAAACCACATTTCCAATTCCAGTGTTTTTGGTAACTTTGTGCCGATTCAAACCATGAGATCCTCACATCTCAGCCTCCTGAATAGGATTATAGGCATGAGTCACCATTACGCTGCTCATGTTTTCATTTTATAGAAATGTGAGAAGTGACTTGTCCAAGGTTATGGGAAAGCTAGCATACTATGCTGTTTTGTATTACTCTTTCACTCCATCTTAATGCTGCTTAGTGTAGTTAAACCAAATCTTTTGATTAGGCATGTGACGTCCCTAAATGTATTGTATTTTGTGTGCTGAGATTACATGAGAAGATGCAAAAAGCTTAAGCACAGTAAGTGGAGTGTAATAATTGCTCAGTATGCATGTTTTAGCTTTCCCTGTTGTTACACTTGATTCACAGTTCTGTTACTCTTTTTTATGTTTTTGTTTAAAAAAATCACATTTTTCTAAAAAAACATTTTAAACTATGATGCATAGACAGAAGTTCTTGTTGCTTTCAGGGTCATTTTTGATTATGTTACTGACCATAAGATAGCACAGATGTTCACTTTGGATTTTAAAAGACTGAGCAGTATAATCACTTTCATCCTATTCCTACATTTTTTGTAAATGCCTGCAATTAATATTGTATAAAATCTTTCTTATTTATTTCAGCTCTACTTTATGAATTGTTGTATGAGAAGGTATTTAAAACTGATGTGAGTAAAATCATGATGGGACTTGAAACCTCTGAAGTAGTTGATGAAAACAACAGTGAAATATCAGATTCAGAGGATGATAGTTGCAAGTAAGAGTGAATTTAAATCTGATCATATCTTTCTAGGACCATTTAAAAAACATTTTAGTTTTGTGTCATAAATTGTTAGTGTTTATAAAGTAACAATCTTTTTTTGGTATTCATAAAACAATGATCTGAAGCTTCTTACCCTGCTGTTAATTTTACCTAGTTTTTATTATATTTGAAGGTTATAAGTTCTTGGATTTTTCTTCCTGGCCTGATCTTGAATCTCGATTCTCTGGATCTTAGTCTTCTTAGTAGCTAGGATTACATGCATATACAACTACTGCACAACTCTTGAAAGCTTATATTGAACTTTTGTAAATTAAATTACTCTATCTTAAAAATTCTATATTTTTTTTTGTTAAATAGTAGCTAATATTAATTAGTTGAAGTCTTTGACTTTCAGTTACATGTGTATATATACACTAAAACTTGACTGAGTTTACTGGAGTATAGCTCTGACTATTTGGATTTTATTTGATTAGGTTTTTAGAGGTTACATGCAAATAAGCTTTTTTATTCCAAATTTTATCACTACATTTCTTCCTTTTTAGGAGCAAAACCACCACTGCTGCTGATGTGAATGGATTTAAGCCTTCATCAAGCGATGAGGTATTTAAAAAAAAATTGTAATTCTTTTTCTTTTTTTTTTGGGTCCGGTCGTGGGGCCTGAACTCTGGGCCTGGGCGCTGTCCCTCAGCTCTTCAGCTCAAGGCTAGCGCTCTACCACTTGAGCCATAGCGCCACTTCCGGCTTTTTTCTCTTTGCTTATGTGGTGCTGAGGAATCGAACCCAGGGCCTCAGGCATGCAAGGCAAGCACTCTACCACTGAGCCACCTTCCCAGCCCCTTTTTCTTTTTTTGTCTGTTGTGGGTCTTGAACTCAGGGCCTTGGTGCTGTCCCTGAGCCTCTTTGTGCTTAAGGGACTCTTGAACCACGTGAACCACAGTGCCACTTCCTGTTTTTGAGTGGTTAATTGGAGATCTCTCCTTAGGCTGGCTTCAAACTACGATCCTCAGATGTCAGCCTTCTGGTAGCTAGAATTAGAAGCATGAGCCATTAATTCTTTTAACATAAACTCACAGGGCTTTATGGTCTTCTGGGGTATATTTTCATTAGTATCAGGATCATTTTACCAGTTTATAAGAGGCACCTTGATGTTTTGAGTTTTTTAAAAAATTTGATTTGATTTTTGTATTTATCTGAAACAAAAATATTTATAAAGCATTCCAGTGTTAATTGGACTTCACTTTCTTGGCTAAGGACCCAAAGAACACTGGGAACTCTGCTAGCCTTCATCTTTCCAGAAAGGTTCTGAAGTCACTCAACCCAACAGTCTATCGAAATGTGGAGTATGAAATTTGGCTCAAGTCTAAACAGGGTATGTTAAAAAAGAAAAAAAATCTACATTTCCCTTAAGGTGGTTTTGTGGTACTTGAAAATAATGAAGTAAACTTTACACTTTTTTTTTTTAACAGCCCAACAAAAACGTGATTATTCCATTGCTGCGGGCTTACAGTATGAAGTTGGAGATAAATACCAAGTAAGTAATTTTTATTAATTGAATGAAGGACTGTATGTTAAGACCAAGAGAATAGTTGAGGTCTGAATGTTTTGTAAGTTTGTATTTCAGAATGTATGTATCTTTTGTTGTGTATATTTTTGAGTGTGCATGGTGGTACTGTACAGCTTTGAACTTGTGGCCTCCCTCTCTGGTTTTTCTTGCTCATGTCTAGGGCTCTATCTTTGAGCTATACCTCTAATCCAGCATTGTGCTATTTAATTGTAGATAGTTTCAACAGACTTTTCTGCCTGGGCTGGCTTAAAATCTCAACCTCCGGCATAGCTGAGATTATAGGCATGAACCACTGTATATAATGGGTTTATTTATTTTTAAGTGCCAACACAAGGGTTTGAACCTTAGGATCTTGAACTCTTGCTTGACTTTTTTCACTTGAAGTTGGCACTTGAGCCACACTTCCTCTCCAGCTTTGTGCTGGTTAATTGGAATTAAGTGTCTCACTACTTTGCTGAAGGCTCTGGGTTTGAACCATGATGCTCAGCTCTCAGCCTCCTCCTTAAAGGTAGGTAGAAATGCAAGTGTGAGCCACCAGTGCCCAGCTTACCTCTGATATTTAAAGTAGAATGGCACGTTAGAGGAGGACTTTTTTCTTTAAGACTAATAAACATTGAGTATTGTACCTCCCACAGTGCACAAGACAGCCTCCTCCACAACAAAGTTTTGTGTTTTTTTTTTTTTTTTGAATGAACAGAAGATGCAATTTTATTTGGTTGAGGTAAATGATAGGGAAAACAATAATGAATTATCTGATCCAAAATTTTAATAATGCTAAGATGGAAAGATAATTTACCAAGTTGTTTTTATGGGAAAATATTATAAAAACCCAAACCAAAAATGTATTCCTTTAAAATTAAAACAGCTGACAAAATCATTTCTTGTTGAAGTGTGGTGGAAATGGTCTTTATGATAAGTTAGTTAATCTGACAGGTATCAGATTGTCTGGGATTCTGTTCTGGGTGTTAGTACAGACATTACAGGCTTTGCATAGCATTCTGATTTGGGGTGCTTGAAAAGTGAGAAAAAAACACAGGACATACTGCTTGCTTTTGGGGTTATCAGAAGTGGGATCATTTGTGGAAGCTTTCAGTATATCAGTTTTGGAAACTTTCAGTACACCAATTTGAAAAACTTGAAAGAAAACAAAACTGAAGAAGGAATTCAGGGCTTAGAAGTCTCACTACCCAACCATCTTAACACGGAAAGAAGATTGCTTATCTTATATTTTGACTTGCTTGTTATTTTAAAGCAAACATAGTTCCTTTGAAGTTGTAATTGCTTTTGGCAAAGTAGATGTTATTCATAGAGCAGATGGTTAAACAGTTTTTACAAAATTTTTCTACTACTATTTGACCATTTATTGCATAAAATATAGTAATCGGGGGCTGGGATGGTGGCTCAGTGGTGGAGTGCTTGCCTTGCATGAATGAGGTCCTGGGTTCGATTCCTAAGTACCACATAAGCAGAAAAGCCGGAAGTGGTGCTGTGGCTCAATTGGTAGAGTGCTGGCCTTGAGCTGAGGGACAGTGCCCAGGCCGAGTTCAGGCCCTACGGCCAAAGCAAAAAAAAAAAAAAAAAATATATCTGTCTGTCTGTCTAAATAGTGTGTGTGTGTGTGTGTGTGTGTGTGTGTGTGTGTGTGTGTGTGTGTGTGTGTGTGTGTGTGTGTGTGTGTGTGTGTGTGTGTGTGTATCTCTGTCTATCCTGTGGCTTGAACTTGGGCGCTGTCTTTGAGCTTTATTTGCTCAATGCAAGTGCTCTACTATTTCTGGCTTTTTGAATAAAAGCATCTCATGGTCTTTCTCCTGCCTTGTTTGGCTTTAAACCACAATCCTCAGAGATCTCAGCCTTTTGAGTAGCTAGGATTTTAGGCATGGTTCCTAGCTAGTTCAAACTTTTTATAGAACTCAGAGTAAAAAGACAAGTGTCTTTTTAATAAGAAATGAAGTAGCTGCTTTGGGACTTGGATGTACTAATAAATGTTAGGATGACTAAACAGAAAAGTCATTAAGTGAAGTTTGTTTCCTGGGGCTCTAATTGGTCAGTACACAATGACTATAGAAGTGTTAAGATTTACTCTGTGTTAGGATAAGTTGATCAGTTTAAGGAGGAAAATGGTCACGGGGACACAATATTAAAAATTGGATAAAAACTGGAGTAATGTGTCCAGTATCCTGTGTGCATGCATGCGGGCGTGCAGGTGTGTGTGTGTGGGGGGGGTGGGGTTTGAACTCAGCTTCTCTTGCTTGGCTTTTTCATTCAAGACTGGCACTCTACCAACTAAGCCACACCTCTGTTTTCCCAAGGTTATAATATAGGTGGTAAGAAAAAAAGCCAGTTCTGAAGGCTCATATTCAAGACTAGCTAGTTGATTTTGGTCTCTTATTTAGAGATTCAATAGCTTGTCTGTTCCTTGAGTTATTTAGAAAAACAGGTTAGAAAAAATATTGAAAGGATTTAAAAAAGTTTTTCTTTAAGGTAGGGAGATGTGGGAGCTTAGGGATACAGACTTATTTATTGTACCTTTTTGAGCTTCTATTTTTCTTAACGTTTTCACTTTAATCTGAAGACAGTAAGATTTAGTAACTGATCATTGGTGCAAAGGAGTCAAGTAACTGGTTTTTATTTCTTGCATTGTTCAAGCAGGTTAAGTTGGATCACAATGGGAAATTTTCTAGCACAGACACCCAAGGGGGTCATTCTGAAAATGGACCAGTTTTGGTTGAAGAAATGGGAAAAAAGTATGTACTGTCCTCAGCTAAGTCATTCACTCCCTCTTACATTTAACCTGTTTTATAGTCATAAGCATTTCTCAACAGTCCTATGTATTTGCAAATTCAATGAAAAGTATTTCCCTGATAAAATTAATTTGGCCAGATCTTTAGAGAAATAGTTCGACTTCACAAATTAAGTATTTGCCATGTTTGCAAATTTTAAAGAATTCTTGCTGTATTCACATTGTTTAAAATGCACTGTAGTTCACAAAAGCAATTTGAGAAATTGAGTAGAGTGTAACGTACAAGAGCTTTGGAGAACAGATAATATATCCATTTCTGTTGTCATCTAGAGCTTTGAGTTCATGCAGTTAATACTCTGTAAGTGCTTGTTAGATGGTTATTGACTTGTTAATACAGAGTTAGTTTAGTTCAGTTGGTCCCTTTATTGAGAAAATGGTAATCACACATTGAGCTTTACTAAGAGAAATTTACACACATACATAAAGGTAAGGAATACAGTATAGTAGATTCAATATATAATGACAGTATTAGCAATGCATAGTATTTGGCAATATTTTAAAATCCATCCAATATTTTTAGTTTTGCAAATGGGAATGACATTGGATTATTTGAAAGCAAAGCTAGACATTGCACTTTTTTTCTGATGTTTACATGTGTGTCTAGCATAGTAAACATCCCTAGCCACTTCAACTATAGTAGCATTAGGTAGAAGCAGAATAACATCCCTTCTTTAGTCTTTCCTTTAGATTGTATTTAAGGCTAGGCTTCTGTTTTCTGAGTTAGACAATGTACTTTTGACTTATGTCATTTTATTAGAATTTTTTTAGTTTTGATTGTTCTAATGTGAGAACGATGAAAATGTTTTGGTAAGTAAACAATAGAATACTTATGTAGAATATTTGTCTTAGTGTTCTCACTGGGAGTATTGTAAGATACTGTGTCTTTTTTGTCCTTGTGAAGACATGTACCGAAGAACCTCAAACCACCTCCCCCAGAAAGCTGGAACACAGTGTCAGGAAAGAAGATGAAAAAACCTCCCGCTCCTGGACAGAATTTGCATTCTGGTAAGAGCATATCCAATCCAATTGTCATTTCTTTGAGATAGGCATAGTGGCATTGGCTTTGTTTATAATAGGGATATTATGAGTGACTTCTGGATTTTTGCCATAGACATGGATTACAGAGGGCCAAAGAACCCAAGCAAGCCAATAAAAGCCCCGTCTGCACTACCTCCTCGACTGCAGCATCCTTCGGGAGTCAAACAGCATGCATTCTCTAGTTACTCTTCAGGGTCCCAGACTCAGAAATCTTCCATTGAGCACAAAAATCTCAGCAGGACACCTTCTCAGATCATGAGGTAATTCTGGAAATCAACTTGAGATGTTTTTGATATATTTGCCATATTACATACACTTGTTTGTTCATATGAAGTATTTAAAATGTTGACAAAATTCTGAGGCTTTCAGTTCTTTGTAATTCTCTCTAAAGCAAAGTATTAACTAATGTAGAAAAGAGACTTTTTTAAGCAAGTTTTTTTCATACAATGTAGGAAGTTGTATTTTAGCAAAACCTTATTCTGTTACTTAATATTCCCTAGAATGCGGTAAATAGTGAATTCCGAATTTTATTCTTAAGTTCTTAGAGCAGAAGGGTGCTCTCATTTGTTCAGGAAATTAAGGCAACTAACAGTGTTGGTTTACTTTGTTCTAGTAAGTTATAAGTATTTGTGGTAATATGTATTACTGAATAAAGCTCTACAACAAATTCTAAAATGTCGGATGTCAAATAGTTATGTAGCAAAATAATAGATAATTGTATTATAATTATTTGTGGTAATACGTATTACTGAATAAAGCCCTACAACAAATTCTAAAATGTCGGATGTCAAATAGTTATGTAGCAGAATAATAGATAATTGTATTTTAGGTATTCTAGATTTTTGTTATTACTGACAAGGATGTTTCATTTGACAGAAAACCTGATCGTGAGAGAGTTGAGGATTTTGATCACATGAATCGAGAATCTCATTATTTTGGCCTCTCCCCAGAGGAACGCAGAGAAAAGCAAGCTATTGAAGAGTCTCGTTTACTCTATGAGATTCAGAACAGAGATGAACAGGCTTTCCCAGCCCTTTCTGTATGTATACACAGATTTTCTTTTTCTGGCAGTAGTGGTGTTTGAACTCATAGCTTCACACTTGCAAGGCAGGTGTTCTGACTGAGCCATGTTTTCAGCCCTTCTTGTTCCATTTTTTAAATTTTTATTTAAAAGGTAGGGTTTGTCTTCTTTGCCCTGGTTTGCCTTGATGATAATCCTAATATGTAAACTCCATTCTATAGCTGGCATGACAGGTGTGCACTCCTGTGTCCAACTGTGCTTAGAGGTTTGGAGCTTAGACTGTCTCCCAAGTAGCTAGAGTGCAAGTGTGATTCACTGGTGTCAGGTTGGGAATTTTAAAGGTTATTTTTTTTCTTCTGGATTTCTAGAGTTTGGATTCAGGACCTTAGCACTTTGAGGCATGTATTGTGCCATTTCAGCCATGCCTCAAATCCTGGAAGTCTTAGTATAATTTCTGTGTTAAGCCATAGGTCCTGATAGTGAGCCTAGTAATTTTTAAATTGAAAGTCCCTTAAAGATGAGTAGAGCCGACCATGCTGCTACATTCCTGTATTACAGGTACTTGTGAGGCTGAGTCAGGAGGTTCATAGATTTAAGATCAGTCATGGGATACATAGCGAGTTTCAGAACAAGAAGGAAGAACTTTTACTTGCTCATTCTGGGTTTTTTTTTGGTGGTACTGGGCTTTGAACTCAGGGCTTCACACTTGGTAGGCAGGCACTCTTTAACACCTGAGCCACTATGCCAGCCATTTTTGCTTCACTTATTTTTCAGATAGGGACTTGTGCTTTTTGTCAGGGCCAGCCCTGGACTATTATTTACACCTCCTAGAACTAGTATTACAAGTATGTACCACCATGCCCTGATTGGCTAGTAGTTTTTTTTGTTTTTTGTTTTTTTTGAATCAAGCATGTTAATAAGCATACAGCTTGGAGGTTCATTATTTAGTTAACACTTTTCAGAGTATATGCATATAGTCAGGAAAGTCACTTTGCACTTTACTAGTGGGACCAGTGAAAGTTGTTTTTCATAGTGTTTGGGGACTGGAGATGGAAGAACCTGTACCCTGCTGTTTTGTCCTTCCTCTGTGTGTTAGACATTATCTTTTCTAATCAAAGATGTGTGTGTGAGCTTTCAGGCTTCTTAACTTTGTATGTGAGTCAGGCCTCTGTCTGAGGGGAAAGTCCAGTACCACATAAGTGTATGAATTATTGGCAGGATGGTAGAGTCATAACTAACTGGTTCATGTTTTGGTGTCCTACAGATACAGTGCAATGTCATGGGAGGCTACCCGTGATACCAGGATGAATGTTCAACTCCATATATTTAGTTCTTGGCCTTCTGCTTGTGGAATTCCTTGGAGTTGCTCATCTGAAAAGATGCAGTGTAGGGGGTTAGTCCTTAGTGTAGGGGTTAGTCCTTAGGAATTAATGACTAGAAGTGCCCAAATCCGTGTATGATAGATGTTTTTTGTACTCATTTTTAGTCTTAGTAAAATTGATTGAATATTGGCTTAGGCTTTTTTTCCCTAGAAAATAGGATGGAAATCCTCACTGTGAAAAGTTTACTAAGAGTGATATAACATGAATGGGATTTTCAGTGGTAGTTCAGTTTAAAAAGCTGACTGATCCAGTTTGCTTGTTTGACCAGTTAGAAGGTTGGAGTTCACACAGAGCTTATGTGACTTTTCTCTTGACAATAGCATTTAGTGGTTTGATTTAAGCAGAACGTTATTATTCAAAAAGGTTTTTAACTAACATAATGCACTGGTGTACTGTGGCTGCTAATCTACCCCTAGTTTTTCTCTGTGTGATTGTTGCTGCTTCAGTGTATTCTTCAGAGGTGGGTAGATGGGGTGTTAATATTTGCAAATAAATGTAAGTTGCAGGGTAAAGATTTGTCAAGGTAGCTTCTGAAAGGGGGATAGCAGGACGTCTTAACTACTTACTGGACTGAAGGTCTGATTGCCTAATGCTTTGATTCAGTGATCAGATTATTAATACAGAACACAGATATGATTCTAGGTCATACTGTTTCAGAAGTATAAAAATATAGGGCTGAGATTTGTGATTTTTAGTTAGATATCTGAATAAGATAAAGCTTTTGTTCATATAATCTAGCGTAATTTTCAACACAGAATGTTGTGTTTTGTTCATGTTACAGAGCTCATCTGTCAGTCAGCCAGCTTCTCAGAGTAGCAACCCATGTGTCCAGAGAAAATCTTCACATACAAGTGATAGGAAAGGAAGCAGGCGGAGAATGGATGCCGAAGAGCGAAAAGACAAAGGTATGCATTTCATTGTTTCTCCTTAGTCATCTGTGTCCTTTGCTTTTAGCAAACATTACTTCCCTGCAGTTTGAGCAATCCAAAGTCAACAGAAGTAAAGGTTTTAAATTGAGCTTTGTTCTTAGTATTCATGTTGAAATCTTACAGAATCTTGGCTTCTTGCTGTTCTGATGTGCCTCATTCCTTTGGCCTGTATATCCATTAGCTGTTTTATTATCTGTAGGTAAATAATCCAGGTGTAGATAGTAGTGTTCCATCCCAAAGTGCAAGAGGAGTGTGATAGCCCTCTTGCCAAAGTTTAGAAGCCATAGAGTGCTTCCAAGTAAACAGGTGAAAAAAAAAACGGAGCTATTTTGAGAGATGGATCAAATTGTTTTGACTTTTTTTTCACTGTATTATTAAGAGTTGATTTATTCTGCTGTTGTTATTGTCTTCTGTGCCTGCTTTATAAATATAAGAATATATATATATATATATATATATATATATATATATATATATATATGAGGGAAAGGTATTTGTGGGCTTTTGACTAAGGTTCTATGGAATGTATCCCAAAGGTGGGGGAGTGAACAACTGTATTATAGATTGAGAAAACAAACTTTAAAAATTTACTAGGTAATTTATCTAATGTTACATACCTGACTGTTGGAAAGAAATATTGATTTGAGTGGAATGTTAAATACTGTTTAAAGAACTTTTTCACTGACAACATAATTCAAATAGTACTTTTGACTTTATCTTCATATTTGGTCTTCTGCATTCAAACCTGTTAATTGCTTCTGCTTTTTAAAAAATGTGTTTTTATCTTGATCTATTACATGTTACAGAGTCTACTCATGGACATACTCACTTGGATAAAAAACTTGAGTCAAGCACATTGGAGGTAAAGGTTTAAAATACAATTTCATCTTTTCTTTAGTATTAGGGAGCAGTGAAGGAAAGATTTCACTGTTTTACAGTTTTACTAAAGTGAGAAAGTAGAGGAAAAGGAGAAATTACCAACTGTACTACCATCTTAAGTTGCTGTTTCTGAAGCCATTGCAAAGTAGCTTTTCCCTCTAATTCACAATACACAATAGACTGATACTTTTAAGTGGGGGAGGTTATATTGTTGGAAGCCATGACTCAAGTTAATGGAGGTTTGATAAAGATATACCCTAACAAAGCTAGGTTACTTGGTGAAAACATAAAATTAGAAAAATCACAAAAATGTCATCAAAATGTAATGTGGTCAGAATGTGAAGTGAATTATAGAAGCAACCAGTTACCCCAAGTTAACCCACAGTTACCCCAAATCTTGGAGATACAGAATTACTTTTTTCTTTTACTCCCAAAGAATGTTAGTGATGATAAATGTACAAGAGTTTCTTCACCATCAAAGTCAAAGAAGTTAGAGTGCTCGCCTCCCACAGAACAAGTAAGTAATTTGTTGTATTTGACATGGAGTGTTCTAGCGTTTTTTTGTTTTTTTTTTGGTTTGTTGGTTGTGGCGCTTGAACTCTGGGCTGGGCTCTGGCCCTGAGCTCTTAGCTTAAGGTGAACGTTCTACCCCTTGAGCCAAAGTGCCACTTCTGGTGGTTAATTGGAGGTAAGAGTCTCATGGACTTTCCTGTCCAGGCTGGCTTTTGAACCACGATCCTCAGATCTCAGTCTCCTGAGTAGGATTACAGGCATGGGCCACTGGCACCCTGTGAGTTTTTAAATATATGCTATCATTTTAAAATGCATGTAAGAGGACTGAGAGAATTAACAATTTGAGTGGTTATTATTTTCTGTATTTATTTAGTTAGGTCGGTTGTAGGGCTTGAACTCTGGGCTTGGGTGCTATACCTGCGCTCTTTAGCTCAAAGCAATTGCTCTACCACTTGAGCTACAGCACCACTTCCAGTTTTCTAGTAGTTTATTGGAGATAAGAGTCTCACGGACTTTCCTGCTCTGACTGGCTTTGAACCGTTATCCTTAGATCTCAGCCTCCTGAGTAGTTAGGATTACAGGCTTGAGCCACCAGCGCCTGGCTATTTTCTGTATTTTTATTCTGAATAGTCAGTCTAAATTGTTGTTGGCATTGATGTTATAACTATTACATACTTAATTGGTTAACATTTGAGTGAGTTGTTTTGTGCCAGTATTGTGGCTTGAACTTGGGGGTTAGCCACTGTCCCTGAGCTTGTTGCTCCACTAGAGCCACACCTGTACTTCTGGCTTTTTGGTGGTTAATTGGAAATAGCAGTCTTATTAACTGGAGACGACAGACTTTCCCTGCTGGGTCTGGCTTGATTCTGAGATCTTATCCTCCTAGGATTATGGGCATGAGTCACTGATGCCCTGACTTGGATAAATTTTTATTTCTTTACCTTTTTATGGTGCTTTGAGTTAAGTTGAAAATGAGAGTTTTTGAAGAAAACTGTATTTGTGGTTGTGTGGTGTTTTTTTTTAGCTTCTACTTGTCTATTATTAACTTTTATTTCACACACATTAATAGAAACAATATCACCACCAGGTGCTGGTGTCTATTGCTTGTATTCTTAACTGTTCAAGAGTCTTGAGCTCTCAGGCTCGCAGTTCAAAGCCCAGGATGGCTTTGAACAAAAAATTGGAAGTAGACTTGTGGCTCAAGTGGTAGAACTCTAGCCTTTAGTGAAAAAGTCAAGCAAGAGTACAGAGCTCCAAGTACCAGCACAAAAAAGATCAATAGCTGATCAAAATATCTTTTTGTTCTTTTCTGCTACCCCATTTTTTGAAGAAGCCAGCAGAACATGTGTCTTTATCAAATCCAGCTCCCCTCCTAGTTTCTCCAGAGGTACATCTAACTCCTGCGGTGCCTTCTTTACCAGCCACTGTGCCCGCCTGGCCAAGTGAACCTACAACTTTTGGACCAACAGGTAAGACAAAAATTTAGAAAACCCTACCAGTCAATACAAGCCTTTTGTCTACAAATTCTTGATTGAGCATCTCTGCATGACCCAGGAAGCTTGACCATAGGGAGGGTTCAGTGTGTGGAATCCTAGTTTCTCATTGGTCTTCTGTTTGGCTGAGCTTTAGTGTTAGAAGTCTCAGTTCATGTGGGTGGTGGGCATTGAGCACACAACACATCCTAGATGAGTGCTTGAGCTAGTTACCTTCATTGTTGGATTTGTTTGCTCAGGACCAAGTGGCAGCAAGATTTTATGCCTTTACCATGGTCTCATCCATTGTGACTCCCAATTGGACTATTTGTAGGACCTGTGTCTTGCACATTTTTTTTTTTTTTTGGTTGGTCATGCATTGTGTTCCTGAGCTCTTCAGCTTAAAGCTAGAGCTCTACCACTTGAGCCACAGCGCCACTTCCAGTTTTCTAGTGGTTACTTGGAGATAAGAATCTCACAGACTTTCCTGCCTGGGCTGGCTTTTGAACCCCAGTCCTCAAGATTTCAGCCTCCTAAGTAGCTAGGATTACAAGAGTGTCCAGCTTACACATGGTTTTGAGAATTGTAGTTAGAAGACATGGATAGGCTTAGTTCCTGTGTTTCTAAGGGACCTTCATTGATAAGAAATCCTTTGAATCCTTAGTCTCCATATTATCTATCCATTATAAATGGAAACATTATTGTTTATAGCATTCTAGAAATTCCATGTTTCTAGAGTAGAAGTATTTTTACTCTCTCATTGTTTTTGACTCCTTTCGTTCTCTTTTGTAGGTGTTCCTGCTCAAATTCCAGTTTTGTCAGTGACACAGACTCTGACTACTGGACCTGATTCTGCTGTGTCCCAAGCTCATTTAACACCTTCTCCAGTTCCTGTGTCGATACAGGCAGTGAACCAGCCCTTGATGCCTTTGCCTCAGACACTGAGCCTTTACCAAGACCCACTCTATCCTGGGTTTCCTTGTAATGAAAAGGGAGATCGAGCCATTGCACCACCTTATTCACTGTGTCAGTCTGGTGAGGACCTGCCTAAAGGTGAGATCTTCCTCTGTTTATCTATTTGACAAATTGATTTAGTGTGGAATGGAAAGGTATATTAAGCCACAGGAAGGACTTACTTGGGAAAGACAGCAGGGGTTTGGTTTTCACTCCTAGTCATTTGGTCTTTCACTCCTTTTTCAGATGGGTTTTGTTAGAAAATGCTTTTTTATGTGTGTTGAATAGTGACTCTCCTATTCTTTTCATTAAGCAGTGTTGAAACTTTTAAAAAATTATGTTGCCATTTTTACTAATTTTTGAGAGAATTTTGATATATAGCTCAGGCTGGTTTTAAGTTCTGAGCTCCTTTTGCCTTTAGTAGAAGTCCAGGTGTTATAGGCATATCTATTATTTGATTTAGTTGTCATTAATCTTAACATTTACCAACGTTTTTACTTCATGTTTTTTAAAAGCTATACAAAGTTGAAAAAGAAATACAATGAGCACCTGAATTTCCTTCTCCCAGATTTATTTTTAATGAGAAGACAGTTTAAATTATTTTGGGATTTAGATGTTAATGTAGAGAAAAGCTGTAGCAAACCTGGACTTAGTCTATAGGAAAAATCTGATGTTTAGCTTTGCTGCAACTTTTGGGTTGTTTGTAACAGGCTAGAGGAAACAGCTCGTTTTAGTTAGACATGTGTACATATGGATTGAAGATGATGAATGTATAGTTTCAGTGAGTGATTATTTTGTTTTCAGATAAGAACATTCTCCGATTCTTCTTCAATCTTGGTGTGAAGGTATTTATATTTTATCACTTCAAAGTTACTTTTAACTTTTATTACTATTTAGTGTTAACTGTTAATCTGAGATTTACTAAATATCACTATTCAGTACTATTCACATTTTTCGTGTGGTAGAATTTTCAGTTTGCTTACTTTCCCTCTTAATCTGATTGTGCTTTAATCTTGGGAGGACATTCCTTCAGTAAATGCTGCCTTTGCAAGTAGCCCAAGGAAGGGTCCTCACTAAAGAATTGGGTGAAGAGCTAGGTTAAAGTGGTGCTTGCTTTTCAGGTATGTAGCCCTGGGAAAGCCATTTAGTATATACAAGTCTAGCTTGCTTTTTTTTCTTTTAATGGAATGGGCTCCTGTTTTTCTACCAGCCTTAATTGTTGAAGGGATCGAAGTAACATGGATGAGCAGAGCAGTCCTTTCGGAAATCGTCAGTGTAAAATTAGTTTTTCCTAGGAAGAGAGTTGGAGGTCTGTTCTCTTTTGATCTTGAATGAGTTTCTGTGGGTTCTGGGCACTTAGAATATGAAATGAAGTGTCCTCTAGCGACCAGTTTCATAAGTTTTTGTGTTGTTATTCATTGGCTAGTTTTATGTTTTTCTAGTTAGTGCTGGGTTTAATTAATTAGCCAATTGGCTGGTCATATTTTCTTCATATTTTGGTTTTTCACTGAACTCCATATAAGGAATTGGAGAATTTCACTTTTGAAGTTAACCTTTGAAGTTAGTCAGAAGTCTAAATTAATCCTTGCCTTTGGAATGCTCTCAGGGTCCTAGAATTGTGGAGCCTCTACCACTGAAGATGATGTATTCTTTGTAGCCTTTTCCTATAGATTAGACTTAGGCAAGTTAACTTACTGAGTCATACAGCCTGTGGGAGAGCTAGGATGTGGGTCTGGGTCTAAACTGCCAGTAATTGAAATACTTTTTCCTGTCAGCCTCTGTATGTGTTTTCAGACAGGGGCAACAAATGGAGCCTGGAAATAATGACTTAATTTTCCAGTTCTTTTTATATTGGAACTGATCTCCTATTTGGACTGCAGTCTATGTCTGTATTGTACAGGCTTGGGAAACTTAGCTTGAGCCTAATGTGTCTCTCTTTCAAATGTTTATTTTCTTTTGTTTCTTTCAGGCATATAGTTGTCCTATGTGGGCTCCACATTCTTACCTGTACCCTCTGCACCAGGCCTATCTGGCAGCCTGCAGGATGTACCCAAAGGTCCCTGTCCCTGTGTATCCTCATAACCCTTGGTTCCAAGAAGCACCTCCTGCTCAGAATGAAAGCGAATGTACTTGTGCTGATGCACACTTCCCTATGCAGACTGAGGCCAGTGTTAATGGTCAGATGCCACAGGCAGAAATTGGGCCGCCGCCATTTTCTTCCCCTCTGGTTATCCCTCCATCTCAGGTGTCTGAAAGTCATGGGCAATTGTCTTACCAGGCTGATCTTGAATCTGAGAACCCTGGGCAGCTGCTTCATGCAGAATATGAAGAATCACTAAGCGGCAAGAACATGTATCCACAGCCATCCTTTGGACCCAGTCCATTCTTGGGCCCGGTTCCCATTGCACCTCCTTTCTTTCCTCATGTTTGGTATGGGTACCCTTTTCAGGGATTTATAGAAAATCCTGTCATGAGGCAGAATATTGTCCTGCCTTCTGATGAAAAAGAATTGGATCTGCCCCTGGAAAATCTGGATCTGTCAAAAGAATGTGCTTCCAGCTCTGCAGTAAATGAGTTCTCAGAAGCCCAGGGTGAAGGTGCTCACTCTTTGCCTGAAGTAAGTGTGAGCACCAAGCATGAAGGCCGAGCAGAACAGTCATCCCAGACACGAAAGGCAGATCTGGCACTGGCTTCCCTTCCTCCTGGAGCTGAGAGCAAAGCTCATCTCCCCACTCAAATTCTAAACAGAGAGAGAGAAACTGTGCCTGTCGACCTTGAGCCTAAGAGGACCATTCAAAGTCTGAAAGAAAAACCAGAAAAAGTAAAAGATACTAAGACTGCTGCTGCTAATGTGGTTAGCTCCGGGGCCAACTCTATGGATAGCAGAGTGCAAAGACCAAAAGAAGAGAGCTCAGAAGATGAAAATGAAGTGTCTAACATTCTGAGAAGTGGCAGATCCAAGCAGTTCTATAACCAAACCTATGGAGGCAGGAAGTACAAAAGTGATTGGGGCTCTTCTGGTAGGGGTGGATATCAACACGTGAGAGGTGAGGAGTCCTGGAAAGGGCAGCCAAGCAGAAGCCGAGATGAAGGTTATCAGTACCATCGAAATGTCAGAGGACGGCCCTATAGGGGAGATAGGAGGAGATCAGGCATGGGAGATGGCCACCGGGGCCAACATACTTGATGATGGCTCCTTGTATTTTAGAGCAGAAGCCTGTTCTTGGGGGGAATATTTCTGAAGGCTTTAAAAGAAAAACATAAGAAAAACCCAAATTGGAACTCTCTCCTCCCCTCCCTTTACCCTCATTCCCATTCTGGACAAGATTTTGGACATGAGTTCAAGGGGCAGGTGAATTTCTGGCATTGCCATATTTCTTATTCAAAATCTTTATCGGGTGATTGCCCCCATAAAAAATAGAACCTAAGTTTGTTAAAGTATTTTTTATAAACGACTTAATATAAAACATAGATTTAGTGTTTGGTTTTTTTCCTTGTATAAATTTGATTTCAAATGTTGGAAATGTGTGCTTTATAGTGACAAGAGAACCATTTGACAACACTATAGATTCCAAAACATAACATTGCACCAAATAGAAATGTATATTTTATTATGCAATGCCTTAGTCATAAACTGGCTCAAACAGTTCTCAGCCTCAAACACTGTCTTTAAGATGCTTCCAGCCCAAAGGCCTTTCATCTCAATATCTGTCAGACTTGAATAAGGCAGCCTATTAACCTGTGTCTTAGAAATGTTGTATATAGTTCTTTTAATATCCATAGGGTATATTTTTGAATTTTGGTGAGTATCTGTTGAACTTGAGATTGCATACAAGAATAGATGTTTAAGAAACAGTAGGAAATCCAGTGAAATGGCTGTTTCCACCAAGAATTCCTAGCACTGGTGTAAATATCATGGTGCCTACTCGAAAGAAATGTAGATGCTATGCATTTTGGAAATAATCTGCATCTGTTAAAACTGCAGAGGTTTTTTTAATGCCACTTTGACACTAATGCACTGACAGATTCTAAATATTTTGAGAAGAAATGTTAAAAGTTTTTAGCTTGACAAGTTTCTATAGAAAGATTACTGTTTTATTTTCTCCTTGCACCATTGGTTGTGTTTATCACTTTCCGTTTGCATGTTCTACTTGTCATGGCTGGAATTACTGTACAAAATATGATTGTGATTTCTAGTTCTTTTCTAGAGGACGCTGCTAGATGATGATTTTGCTTTGCATTTGGATAGTTTGCTGTTCTTGGGGGTAATGTGTTTCTGATCCTGCTTCCAGGTTTTGCAGTATTCACAAAGTTCCCTTTGCATGTTGCACTCTTGTTTTCATTTGGGAGATTGAATTCTGAATTAACACAGTATTCATTCATCTGTGTTGCTTTGTAAAAATGTGTTTGTTTGTACATACTAATGTGAAAATGCATCCTTACCCTTCCCCACACCCCCATCCTGGGGCTTGAACTCAGCCTGGGAACTGTCCCTGAGCTGTTTTTGCTCAAGACTAGGGCTCCTCTTGAGCCACAGCTCCACTTCCAGCTTGTTTTGTTTGTTGTTTGTAATTTATTATAGATAAGAGTCTCACTGACTTTTTCTGCCTGGGCTGGCTTTAAACTGTGATCCTCAGATCTCAGCCTCCTAAGTAGTTAGGATCACAGGTGTGAGCTACCGGTGCCTGGCTCCTACCCATTTTTTTTTTTTTTGAAATATGTTGAGATACCTTCTGATCAGGTATGCTATGCAATAATATACTAGTATTTTTCTTTGCATGGCCTGAATAATATGTTCAAAAATAGATGTGATGGCTCTTTTCATTCTTTTAAATAACAGATTCTGTAAATGCAAATATAATTCACTTGAATTTGACAAACTAAAACTTTTAAGTTTTTCTGGATTCTCTGATAACCTGTATGGATGTTTGGGTGTCAGCAATGCTCTGAGCTCTCCACTGTACTGTAATAATGGTTATTTACCTCTGTGCTGTTTTAATTCCCTAATGGTCTGTGTAACTGCTGATATGAATATTGATTAGCATTTAGATGTTTTGTAACAGAATTTTAGAGAGCACTTTGAAAGATGGCATTTTATTATGATGGTGCTAGGTAAAAATTTGTGAAGACTGGGATGGTTGTGTGGCAAAGAAAAACACTGATGGAGACCTTGTTGAGAGGAATTTCTCTTTTGTCACCATCGAAGCTAGAACAAGCAGTTGTTGAGGGCACTGCCTGCTGAAGCCAGTTTTTTTTTGCTAATATACATGGTTAAATTATGGCATTAGATGTTTAGAGGGTCTTCTTTAGGCCATGCTTTTTCTTTTTTTTAGATGTAGGAGAGCTTGCTTGACAACTTTTACTATGGAAATCACATTTTGATATAGATAGCAGATTTAAAAGTTTGACCTAAATTTTATCTCAGGAGTCCGAAAGAAATTGCTTTTCCACTGTCCTTCATTTTCTTGCTTGGAGTTGGATCTATTTCTGGAAGTGTTAAAAAATTTGATAAGAAAGAATACTGCTCTTTACTGTCACTGTGTTGGACCTTAAAGAACTGAATAGTTGGCTCCGGAGGGAGGCACAGACTTGTTTTTTTGGGGTCTAGCCAGAATGGTGGAAGCAGTGCTCAGAGAACTCCAGCAGGTGGAACTTTCTGCAGTGAAAGGAAGAACATTGACATGTGGGAGATGTCAAATCATCAATCATTACATGAAGGTCAGATTTGTTTTCTGTTTTTCAATTTAGCCTTATGCTGAGGTCAGACCAGGGCCAAACAAGCTTTTGTCCTCCTTCATAGTAGCTATGTCACTGTGTGTTGACATCTTTCCAGAGAAAAAAGGCAAAAGGGGAATACTGAGGATCATTATTTAGATTTGAAATTAATATTATCAGATAACATTTTGAAGAATAAATATTTAACCAAAGCTTACTTGTTTTAGTTAGGTGCTTTTGCTGAACTTCTGTCCAGCTCTTTTCTTTTAGCTTTACATCTCTTCAGGTTTGTTTCCTGTCAAGTCTGTCTGCAGTCCTTGCCCACGTGCTCCTTGGCAGCAGGATACTGGCAGCTGAGGTTGTCCTCACGATGCTTCCCGACCACTTACACGTCCATTGTTCACGGCCGACCTGAGCTCAGACCCTGCCTCCATCTGACAGGAGTAGGTTTCCTCAGATCACCATGCAGATTCAGCCTATTTGATGCAAACTCTTGATTGCAGTGTGTTGTTTCCTTTGTGACTCGAGGGTGAATTAAAAATGCCTGTGAACTGCAAACTTGTGTCTGATTGACTTGGTGCAATAAAGTTCCTTTCTAAACATTTCTGGTTTAGAAAATACTCAGCCATCCTAGATACTAGCAATATTTATTTTTGCCTCATTTGTTTTACCTTCAGTCTTTCACTTATGGGTACTAAGCAAGGTCCATTCTAGTGTATAGCTGGAGAAAATGCAGATCTGGCTACACTATTTCTGTTTACTGTATTTTGCTATTTTATGTCTCAATCCCGTTTTAAAAATCTTAATAATGCCTCACTTCCAGTATGTCAGTTTCAAAGTTTTATTTACTCCTACTGATTGGGACTTTTAAAAAAGATATCCCCTTCTCTCCCCATGCATTTTTAGGAAGATCTTTTACGGGGTGGGTGCATGTCTTAATGCTGGGAGGCAGCAACTTTGGGGTTGAATTTACTTGAATGGATTAAAATTGCATTGTTACAGAGCTAGAAAAAAATTTATGTATGAAAAATACTAGCCTTACACTGAGTACAAATAATACTTATAAGCATGTGAAGATGTGATCATTTGTGATGTTACTTGTAAAAAAATATACATATCTTTTGAAGTGTTTAAAGAAATAGTACTTTATATTCTTTATCATATCACTTTTTGTAAGTGTTGAATATATTCCTGTTTATTTTTCTATGTTCTGTTTTGTAGCCTTAAGAAGTGTTTTGAACATATTCTGAATGTATAAAATAAGAGTAAATGCCCTACATGGTGTGATGCTGCATTCTATATAAAACTGTGCGTATATTAAATTTTGTCTGCTGATTCTGCTTCTGATTCTTTCGTCCCAGGGTAACCAAATGATACAGCATGTAAATTTGTTCTTTTTTTCCCCATCCTGGGACTTAAACTCTGAGCCTGGGCACTGTCCTTGAGTTCTTTAACTCAAGGCAAGCCTTGCTCTACCACTTGATCCACAACACCACTTCAGACATTTTCTGAGTAGTTTATTGGAGTCTTATGGACTTCCCTGCCCTCGTTAGCTTTGAACCACAATCTGCAAATCTCAGCCTCCAAGTAACTAGGATTACAGGCATGAGCCACCCACACCCAGCTAGGTCAGTATGTAAATCTTAATCAGTACACTTCTAAGATGAAGAAATGGTTTTCATGGTATTTTTCCATCTGTAAGAGAATGTAAGTATAATTAAAACTGAATTTTATAGCCTATTCTCACATACATGCATACAGATGAAACTCGGACTAAGTTCCTAAGGTCATATCACTAAGTGGTAGAATTTGGACTTGAACCTTGTTCTGAGTGATATTACAGATAAAACAAACATCCTACATAATTTTCAGCTGCTTTCAGAAGAATGAGGATGCATACACGATGTTTTAAAATCCAGGTTTTGGTCCTGCATTTTCGTTTTAACACTAGAGCTCTACTACTTGGCTACAGCACCATTTCAGGGTTTTTGGTGGTCAAACTGAGAGTGGAGTCTGGTTTTGAACCCACTCGGACAGATCTCAGCCTCTATAAGAGCTGATTACAGTGTGAACTGAAAGCCTAAGTCACATCTTAAGCCACCCAAGAATATTGTCAAATGAATGTCTTAACACAATAGGAACTTTCAAGAAGCAGAATCAAAAAGCTTGGTGGAAAACTGGTTTTGGCATGGGGTGGTGGATAAGCCACAGGGCCAAGCTGCTGTCCTCTTTTGAGACTTAAGTGAAGCATCTCAACCATGGGGCGCAGGGGGAAATAGAGGAAAAGGGATTAAAACAAATCTGGCTGTGAGCTAGTGTTTACCAAGCTAAAGGAAGGGAAGTCAAGGGACTTTACTGGTTACAGCCCTTACAGAATTGGTCATTCCACAAGTGGATAGATAAAAGATGAGCTAGCACTCCTCATGGGGTGCCTGAAAAGGTCAAGCACTGAGGATGCAAATAATAGCAAGTTGATAATGGGTTTTCCTCTATAGACCTGTGCCATCTTAATGTACAGGCTCTTGTGAAAGGTCTATACCAGACACTTAGTTCAGGCTAAGTGTTGTAAGAGGAACTGCAGATGCTACGTATACATGCTCCATAGAGCTTTTTAGGTAGATCCTATGGGCTTCCAACGTTTACCAATCCTCCCATTCAATTCAAGGTATCACAAACTTAAGGCAAGTGGAGAAACAGGTACTTGACAACAATTCACAAAAATATGTTAAGTGACTACTGGCAGGTATGCAGTGTTTGG